TTCTTAACTAGAATGGATAAGGGCGGTTTCAATATAATTAATTTTCTTAATCTAAATTTTTGTTTTGTATCGTTCGTTAAGTACATCAACAGAAATTATTGTTATGAAAAAGAGGTCAAGGTTTGTATTGTTTACATTTTAATCTCATTTTTGATTTTATTTACCGTAGATTTCTGAGAATTTTATATCGCTTTTATTCTGTTATCATTGTAAACGCTTAATTTAATTGACAGGTGGACGTTATTTATCGCCTTTTCATTGTATTTAAAAGATAGAAAATTCTATTTTTCCTAGTATTTTAATTTTGTGTTATCTCTTAATGTCGGTTAAAAATTGATTATAAAAATAATTTCTACCTCTAGTTTAACTTACGTTAGTGGGGAAATTTTCTGTTGGCAACTGCTTATCATTGGCTGTTTTAATTTGTAATTTTGGAAGAAGGGTTTCCACCTTAAATAGAACGGACTGAGAAGAGGAAGGGATTTTTGCCAAGTTCAGAGCGGAACTACGTTTGTTTGAGATTGAAATCAGCATTTTGTTGAAGTTTTGTTTTGGGAGTTTTGAAGTTTTTATCGTCAGTTTGTTGCCAGTCAGGGCAGTTTTTGGTTTGAGTGAAGATTGTTTATTTCGCTTCGGCGAGTTACCGCAGTAGTTTGGATTGTGTAGAGGCCAGCCAGTTTTGGAAGTTGGTGGAGTGATGAGTACTCAGGTTTGATTACGCTTAATTAGGTAAGCACTGTTAATTAATGCCATGTCAATGGACAGTAGTAAACCTTGTCAGAAACCGTCGAGAGAGGTGTCCACAGAGGCGCTCTAATTTTTCTAGTTGTTTGCAAGTTGTCCCAGATTTTTAAGATAACCACAGGAGCCGCAATTAATTAAAAACCGGATTATTTTCTACCGCGCTCGGTACGAGCACCGCCCGGCTTTGGAAATTCCATGTTCCACTTCTACCAAAATGGGTTTCCTTTAAAAGGAAAACGCTCAATTTGGGAGGGATCTTTTCTGCTTCATACTTTCGAGTTGTAAGTACGCCTTTTGATTTTTCTAATTTGCGAAACCTTATCATTCCGAATCCACCGAAACCCTTTTGCTTTACCGTTTTACCGTTTGAGCGACCGTAAGTCAAATCGTTGTCCTTTCCTTTTCACGACCGTTTTGAGTTTCCCTTTTTGCACTACCGTAACTTTTGCTACCGTTCCGCTAAGCTTCATTACCGCCTTACGCTTACCGTATTTTCTATCGATAGTGTTATCACCGTTTGGCTGAATTTATTACCACCGTTGATTACAAAGGTAAGCGCTTAATTTTCATTTACGTTGATTAAGGGGGGGAAGTATATTCTGTTCTCCTTGCTTTTCCGCTTTTCTTTCCCCTAGACACCGCTAATTGATTTGTGCTTTATTGCTTTATTCCCTTTAGGAAATTTACCGTCCGGGCCGTCGGCCATATTTTGTTTTAGATAAGCCGGAAGTGACCGCCGCCATTTTGTGGTGAACTCTTACCGATCCCTGGTGTATTCCGTTCTCCACTAGAGGATACCCGGAGGCTTTCCACCCCGTCCGACAAGACCGCCCCTTTCCCAAGACTTAGGGGGTGCAGATAAGTCTTGGTGGCGCCCGAGAGACCGACCGACCGTCTACTGTGTGATCATTGAATTGTACAATTATATTATTGTTCGATAATTAAAGGAACTTGAATTAATTGTACTTTCATCATTTAAGCTACCGTTCGTGCACGAGCTAAGGGGGAAGTTCGTCGCAGCGGCTGTACCGGCTTCCTTAATAAAGGTAACTTAAGACCCTTGACTCAACTCAAAATCACTGGGTTGGAGGTTAATTGTGACCAGGGTAAATAATGAAAAGCAATCCGACCGGCAAAAGGAGGACTCACCTCGACTACGTCGATTTCCTCACATAACGGTCGCGCCTGACCTGGAAATGTCTCTTGGGGCGCCCCTTGTAAGCATCCGTCTCCCCCGAGCGACGGATAGGGCGTTGTCTGTTTTCCGCCGGCTGATGCGTTTCGTTCGTGGGTCTTCTAATCCATTTACCACCCCTTTGTTTGGGGACAGACCGTTGCATCGGTCTAACCTTTAATTCGCTAGCCGTGTTGTTAATGACTTTTGCCGCTTTTATCTTATCTGGAAAATCCTCCCCAAAGAGAAAGGTGTCAAAATCTGAATGCTCACTAACTCCTTAATGGGTTTATTAAGTATCGGATTTATTAAGAATCTACGACGAAGCGATTCGCTATAAAAAAGATCCGCAAGAATACGACCCGCATCCGAAAACGCTGACAACAGCTTGCTTTTCAATTCAAGCGAACAGAATCCGGCTCATTTAAAAGTGACGTCAGTCCTTTTCCTAAGGCCGATAACCCTCTGCTTAAATGCGTTTGATGCTCCAAGCGAGACTTGTCTCTATTTATGTAACCTTGCGACATGACTGCCAAAATTTCGGGGTTAACCGAAGGAGGAGTAAGACCTTCACAATTTGTCTTAAACAAGTAATTATCCAAGAGCTTGGATTTCTCCTGTTCTGAAAGGCCGTGCCTTAGAATATGATTCCATCGTGAAGAAAGAGCGGGGTGGAAGTTAAACGTGTTTAGTTCGCCTCGCTCCGGATCATCTCCTAAACAATTTAGGACCTCGTCCGATAATTTAACGTCTTTCACTTATGACTAGCACGTCACCATTGTCCCCCGCACATTCGGCGAAATTTCCGGCGACAATGGAGCCGTTGACGGCAAGGGCGTAGGGGAGCCGAAACCGTCGCGACCTTCGTCGCAAATAGCGTCTACCGGGCCCCATGGACGCCGGCTTTCGCTTACACAAAGAGTACCCGTATCCCGCAGATCTCGGCGTACACCACGTTCCGGGACAGCTAAATCTGAACCCGAGCTACACGAGCCTCGGCTCACAGACAGTTGTCGATGACGACCATCGGCTGAACTGCCCGCTTCCCTTGAACGTGGACCTGGAGAGCGCGATCGACCACGGCGATCTCGCTTCCTCCTTTCTAACGTTCGTTCCAATCTCTTAAGGCGCTTTAGAAGTTGCCTTTTGGAAAGGTCGTCCTCCGATCCGCTGGAGCGATCCCTTTTTTGTTTATGTTTCCCCATACTACAAAAAATTGAATTAGATATCAATACTTACGTCGCTTACAGGAAGTAAGCGAACCCAACCTTGTTTGCTTAGCACAAGAAAACGAATAATGATAGGAGAGGTATGCGCACAGCAGGAACTGGGGAGAGTGGGAATTTCTTCTTTAAACCTTGTGACATTGGCATCTAGAGAGCGTACTACATAGTAAATAATAATTATATCTTCGGACTGGACACCGAAATATAATACTAGATATATTGTGTCACGACGTTTAAGACCCACACCATCTTGTAAGTAGCCTTTTGGTGCTAGTTTGACGTTGTCAAATTCTTTAAAATTTTACCCTTCGTCCTGCATTTCCAGACCACCAGGAGCAGGTTTCTAGTTTTACTGTACGGCTTGGAATTACCGAAAAGTAGTGGCGCCTAAATTCTATGAGCAATATTTTCTTTTAGTATCGTCGAACCACCCACACCACCGATAGCAGCTGGGGCCGTAGTGCTGGATTTATTTCTTTTTCTTTCAGATTTTCTTCGTCACAAAAAAGAGCACTAATTTTCACATTCACGTTGTAGACCGTGCACAACAAAACAGATTCTACAACATTCCAAAATACAGAGCGGCAGGTATCCCCCCCCCCCCATACAATGTTATGTTCAACTTTAAATTTAAATAAGTGTGGACATCACTAAATTTTATAATCTAGTTGGACTGCTTAACAATATTGACAATGAGAGATTTCTTCTACAAATGAGCTTGGGAAAAATTACAAAACATCCAATTGGTCATTGCACAATTACTTAATACCCTAAAAAGTTGCATCATTTCTGAAATTGAAAGACGTGGATAAATTTACGGGGCATTGTTTCCATCGAACAGCGGCAACTCTGTTAGTAAATGCCGGCGGAGACACTCTTCAATTAAAGCAATTGAGAGGGTGGAAATCTGCATCATTTGCAGGTTGTTATGTTGATCAGCCTCTTCATGGCCATTCATGGATCTTTGTACAATTCTTAGGAATCATTTCACAAAAAAAAAGTGTCCGTCTTTAATGAACGTGTTGAATTCAGCGACTTGCAACAATTCGAGAACGAACTGATCAAACACTTCTTCAGGTGCGAAGTGTAAGGGAAATAAGACAAAAAAAAGTGTATTTTGGGGTAATTGTGGCTATTCAAGCGAGGATAATGCGGGTCGGCCACCGTTACCCCGAATAATGGTACCAAATTTTGTACGTACATTTAAAATCTATCTACAGATGCCAAATGATTATATATATATATATATATATATATATATATAATATATATATATATATATGTATATGCCATTACGCAGTATCTGCATTTACACTTGTAACTTAAGTTTCCTACATAACTATAACACAAGACACAAGATTATATATCACAGGCATGGTCATAAAAAGCTTTTACCGACGAACAGAATTCCTCAAAGGTGTAAAAGGCCTTTTACAGAAGATATTTCTTTATACAATCTTTAAACACTTTTGCGGGGAGGCTTCTAACATTTACAGGCAACGAATTATATAATGTCTTCGTTTCATATTCACAGCCGTTCTGGGACGTTGTCAGCCGGCAGTATTGGATACTTAAATTATCCTTATTACGGGTGTTGTGCATTCCATTTGAGACTGTTAACGCTATCTCTTGCGTAGCACAAGTCTTGTAAGATGTATATGGAGGGGAGCGTAAATATTTGTAAATACACACACACACACATACCCTCACCCTCACACACACACACACACCCTCACACACACACACATATATATATATATATATATATATATATATATATATATATATATATATATATATATATATATATATATATATAACCTTGAAATCAGAGTATAAAAGGTGTGATCCACGTGAAAACTTCAGTATGTTCCAGTCGTTATTAGTGAAGGAACTTTACACGACATACACACTCTCATACCTTCTGCTGTTATTAAGTATGTGTCCATGTGAGAGTAAAACTCTCGAGAGTCGCTCTCGAGAGCTTTGCTCTCAAGTGGACAACGATTTGAGAGCTACTCGCTGCGAGCGATACGTTACTATCCGACAGTAACTCGCAGCGATATCTAGAGTACGTGGAAGTGGAACCGACCGCCTCTCGATAGTGGACTCGCAGAAGTCGAAACAATTTCGTATAGTTGAGAGTGCTGTCAAGTTAACATGTCGAAAAACTGGAGTAAAGACGAAGTGTTGGAATTGATACAGTGCTACGAAGAAAATGAGATGTTATGGAATACTCGATGTACAGAGTACAGAAATCGAGAGAAAAAACAGGCACTCCTGAGAGAATTTGCTATCCAATTTAGTTGTAGTGCGGAAGAAATTCAGAGGAAATTGCACAATTTAAGAAATCAGGTAAGTTTATAATAATGATTCCTCTGTTTGATATAATTTATTTCTGAATTGGTTTATACAGGTTTCCCAAGAATTGAAAAAAATGAAGAAGAAAAAAAGTGGCGCAGGTACCGATGAAAATTATACTACAAATTGGCCTTATTTTACTGCGTTAAAGTTTTTGATTCCTACTCTGATACCAAATCAAACTGAATCAAACAGAAGTGAGACTCGCTCATCCATTGAGACACAGCCAGTCAAAGAGGTAAGTGAGACACGTTCTTTTTTAATATTCGTATTTATTATGATTATCAACATCTACAAATTAAAATACATTTTATTAAATATGTTGATATTGCCAATCTACTTCACCTGAAGGGGTCATAAAGTCTTCTTTAAATTCATCTCTCACTAGTTTCTGTGAAAGCGTACAATTATTTCGCTTTCCTTTTTGCAATGGAAAGTATGAGTTATTGGGAATTTCATCTCTCCAGGAACCTGGTATTAGAGTATGCGTTTCAGTATTTTCTGTATCAATCAAATCTTGATGTATATAGTTGCCTTTCAAAGTTTTGTCTGACAATAAGTAATTATGGAGTGCGCAGATTGCTTGCACGGTTGTTGAAACTGTCTCTGGGGCAAGCGCAATAGGTTTTCGCAAAACTCGAAATTTATTGGCCATTATACCAAATACATTTTCAATTATTCGTCGAGCTCTCGACAGTCTGTAATTAAAAATACGATTAGGAGCTGGTTGATTCTGATAAGGATACGGCTTCAACATGTACGGTTTCATAGCAAAAGCATCGTCGCCAACAAAACAGTATGGAACAGGATCAGTTCTACCAGGGAGAGGTGTAGGCTCGGGTAATTCAATACTTCCATCTTCAAGTCCTTGATGCAAAGAACTATTTTGGAATACCCCACCATCCGAAATTCTTCCATTACATCCAACGTCAAAGTATATTAGTTTATAACTTGCATCAGCAACGGCCAATAGAATAATACTATAAGTTCCCTTGTAGTTAAAATAATGACTGCCAGAGTTATGCGGATTTTGTATAGAAACCTGTTTTCCATCAACTGCTCCTACACAGTGTGGAAAATTCCATCGGGAGTTGAATGAATTAGCTATGCACAACCACTCATTTTTTGTGTTTGGAAACTGAAAAAAAAATTTAAATGAAAAATTTAGTTGAAAATAAAATGATGTCGTTTTCTTTTTTCTTTTGTTCCAGATTGAATCACAACTTGATGAGGAAATAAATGTTGTTGGAAACGAAAATACCAACATTACAATTGAAAATAAACAAAAGAAGCGGAAACGTGAGAAAACAGATGTTGATGACCAACTGTTTCGATCAGCAATACAAACCCTGCAAAAACCTCCAGATGAGGATGAGATTTTCGGGCAATATGTCGCGATGGAGTTGAAAGGGATTACAAATGATTTTCTTAAACGAAAACTTAAAAGTGCAATTAGAAGGTCCGTTAATCAGATCGTCGATGAATACGATATGCACATGTATGGAACGCCTTCCACGTCATCAGCATCATTGCCAACATCACCGGCACACGAAGACAGTTCATCATGTGCAGGTTTATTTAAAACATTTACTGAATTGTGAATTATTGGATTTTTGTATTAAACTTCTTGAATAAAAGCCTAAACATTTAATATAAACTTATACCTTTAAGTAAGACTCCTTCAGCATTTCATAAATTGCCACAGTTACTTCCTTTACAATTCTGCCAATTGTGCAAACTGGAATCCGAAATAGATATTGAAGGCTGCTGTAAGAATCGCCTACAAAATGAATTTTCATTGATTCTACGTAGTGATATGTATACATCGGTACTTACCTGTTGCTAGAAATCGAAGGGTAACCATAACTCGTTCATAAACGGGTATCGCCGAACGCATTATTGTGTCTTGTTTAACAATTTGAGGCCCTATTAAATTTATTAAGAATTGAACTTGAACTGCACTCATGCGAACAAAATTTCGAAATTGCTGGGCATCTTCAATATGGAGCTCGGCTATTAATGTAGAACAAGCACCGTGTTTTGCTCTACGTTCAATCCAGGGCTTAACCCAGCACTTTTTTCCCACTTTCGCCATTTCTCTTTTCTTTTTATAAATAATAATAAGAGCAGCAAGTTTTTCTTTATTACTGTTCATCCTGAGAGTCACGCGAAAACTGATCATGTGGACACGATTCTGAGAGTAGATTGTGCGAGGACTATCCGACAGTTGCTCTCAAGTACTGTCGGATAGCAAAAATTCCTGAGAGTGATCTCACGTGGACATACACCTGAGAGCAGCTATCGAGAGTTACTATCAGAAAAACTCTCACATGGACACGTATTAGCGAAGGACATTACTCTCACACCTTCTGTTATTAGCGAAGGATACATCATCTACAACTAGTAGTCATGAAAGACCAATTCATCGTTGTCATAGAAAGTACAGTGGCAATCAAGTATAATGCGATCTACACCAATAAGCCTTAAGAAAGAAAAGAAGCATCTTCGGCGAACCATAAACCAAGTTCTTAAAACATCCAGCCTTACCAGTTCCTGTATCACCTTTGCCGGATTCTCCAAAGAGACCACAGCAAAATAGTGCAGGATGGAAGTTGATTACAGTGTCAAATATTTCCAATCCTTATACATCAGTGTGTAATTGTGAAATTGACTTAAAGGATCCACGACGTTTTATAGTTAGCTCGTTATTTAGACAATCAATAGGTTATAAATGTTCTCAATGTATTTCTTGTTAATTATTTAATTTTTAGTGTTCTACGTGTTGTTATAAAAATTGTTTCACAAGTGTAAATAAAAACTTATCACAAAAGGCACTAAAGGATCCTACTAAATTCTTTAAATATTCCTGAAAACAGACCATTGCCGGGAAGGGCTAAGCCAATTCCTTATGTGATGGTATGCACCTTTGGCATTGTCAGAACACATCCCGAAACCATACCCTTTAAGGAATATGTCAAAAGAACAAAGACTTTTTAACTACAGTTCAAGTCGAGCGCGAAGAGTGGTTGAGAATTCATTTGGAATTCTTGCAAAAAGGTCAGAAAAATCAAGCTTGTTGTGCTCTACAGTCTAGACAATTTTTTGACTAAAGAGACAGGCTCTTCCTTGTCGAAACATCCAGAAGAAATTGATCGTAATAATAAATTTATCTATGGACTGAATTCTACACATTATGGCAGAAGCTTTGAATATCGGAGAAGAATTTAAGGAGTATTTCAATGGATATGGTCGGTAACCTTGGCAAGATAATGTTATTTAAAGACTTTTTTGCATTATAGCCGATCCGGTCTATTGACCGCATTACTATTGTTCTGGAGCGATGTATTTAAATAAAACCATGTTTAGTATTGGCGATTTATAGGCCCTTTAGGATGCGTTGTTCGAATTTCGCTCGCTTACTTTTAGTTCATCATCATTAAGCAAAGAATTATATGCGGACAACTGTTCTACCCTAACACTAGGTATATATTTACAAAAATTTAGGTACTTACCAAACAAATCATGAGGTAGATGCGGAAGACAGGAGGCTTTTAAGATTTTATATACATATATATTTCAGCACGGCCTGTTGATGGGTAATTCCCGAAATCGATAGCCCAGAGAATACTTTTAATAAAACTTTTAAAATAATCGTTATCATTAAGCACATCCGGTACTTTATACCGAGTTATCGTTGCATCAGCTGTCGTCACCTCTTCAAAATCGATCTCGATTAAAGCATTCGGTTGAACAGCGGCGGACTGGCCTATCGGGCGACCGGGCACTGCCCGATGGCCTGCCATAGTAAAATGGCCTGACGACGACCTCGCAGTTAGTTAACAAAATTCAAATTTTTTTTAGTAAAATACGCAGAAAGAAAATCTGCAATAGGAGCGTCGCTCGGTCGAGCACCCGAACAAGTGGAAGCCGGCGGAAAGCCGCGTGACGTACACAACCCAAAGGCGTGCAGCAGATATCTCCAGTCGCAACTTATATCCTACAAATACCAAGCGACCGGGGGTAGAGTTCAGTTCAGTTCATCTTTAATAGTTTAATGGTTCAGTTCAGACGGTCGCGTCGCGTTCACACAGAATCGACATTTCACCAGCACAGCACTGCCTACATTCTTTGACTTTAGCCTTTAGGCAACGTTTGAGTTTTAGTGTATTGGGAATTAGTGGGCAGAGGCCTAAGGTGAGTACAATAATATCATTATTTTTAATCTTTTTTATTTAATTTCATGCAATACTAAAAAATTAAAAAAAGAAAAACATTGTTGTCGTACAGCTTGTTCTCTTTTACGAGCTTTTATTTAATATATAATATGTTTTTTCTATTTCGGTGCCACAATGATGATTTTGTACAACTGTTTTCGAAAACAGTTGTACAAAGACAGTGATTATAGACGTTTTTTTTTGGTAACTCATCTCTCAAGTTGGCAGTTACTATTTAGTACAAGTAGGTACTTCGTTGGGTACTTCCATGTTTGAACTTCAAAATGTCAGTCTTACTACGCTGCCAACCTAAAACTTAACGGCATAAAAGTGTTCCCAACATAAAACATCTTAGTTCTAATGTTCCCTATAGTTTCTGATAATGATTTTTTTAATTAAATTAAAGCACCGAAATAGAAAAAAATAGTATGAAAAACGCGTGTTACAATGCTTTATACTCCTATCTTGCGGACACTCGTGGCTACGCTTCGCGTCGCCACTCGTGCCACAAGATAGTCGTATTACAATAGGTCGCATTGTAACACTTGTCTTTCAATATACTATTTCTATTTCGGTTTCATTGTACAACTATTTTTGCCTAAATTTTTTTTAGGATGTCAGTTTCATTTTATATTTCAGATTCAGGTTTTGGAAATGGAGGCAGAACGAAGGAAAAAAAGGAAAGGTGGGGCGGAAAGAGAACGTGAAAAGAAAAAACGCCTTCTTGAAAAAACAGTAAAAACCTGCCAGAATATATCTACATTGTTTCTTGGTAAAAGTGAGAAGTCCAAGGAAACCTTTGAGAGACAGTTAGATACCAGCACTTTTCTGGTTCAAGATACTGTTCATCAAGCTGACTCTGACAACCAAACTAACACCGAGAATAACGATAGTGATAGTATCCAAAAAAAACTAGGAGACCGTACCAATGAATTAAATAATTATGTGGAAGAAAATCAAACTCAGGCGATTGATGCTGAAACAGGCAGTCATCAGGATGAATCCGAATCCGAACCAAACGATGATTTTTATTTTAGCAGGCCATCCATTACAAACTTGAACGTTTTTGTGGAATTTCATCCTAAGCAACCTAAAATTGCAAACAAGCGATATAATTTTGAGTTAATCTATTTTAAAAAATCTGGAATGGTTAGAAATTGGATTAGCATTCGTTTAGATAAATCATACGATAAGATTTATTGCTGGATTTGTTTGGCCTTTTGTAAAGAAAAACAGTTGCCTTCATTGGCTAGTGGAGCCGATATGTCACTTATGTCAGTAAAACACCTATACACGAGAATAGAAGAACATGAATTAAGCAAAGGTCATATTAGCAGTACTGAAGCGTACCTTATGCACAAAAAGGAAAAAAATGTGTACTCTTTGATTTTTTCAAATGCAGCTGAAAAACATAAAGCACAAATTGAAAGGAACAGACAGATATTGCACAGAATAATAGAGGCAATAAAAGTGATCGGAAAAAGAGGTTTAAGTTACAGGGGTAGTGATAACGAAGCGGCCTATTCCCTTCTAGACGATTCAATTGATCATGGAAACTTTTTAGAAATGATATTATTGATTTCAAAATTGGATGTCTTACTTCGAAATCATATTGAAAAGGTTGCTAAAGAGAGTAAAGCAATTCATTCCCAACCTGGTCGAACTAGAGGACGAGGAAATATGGTTACCTTTTTGTCAAAAACCACAATCAAATAATATTTTGAAAGGAATATCCGCTTTAATAAAACCGAAAATTGCCGAAGAAATTAAGCAAGCTACCATATACTCCGTTCAAGTGGACACCACTCAAGACATTAACGTTGTTGATCAATTTTCTATCGTTATTAGGTATGTTACAAGCAAAGTGAATGAAAGAATTATACGATTGGTAAATTGTAATTCTAGTAAGGGAAAAGATATGTACGAGTTGGTGTCAAAGTGTCTAGAGGAATTAGGTATTAATATCAAAAACTGCATTGGTAATTCGACAGATGGAGCCGCAAACATGCAAGGGCAATACCAGGGCTTTACCACATGGCTGCCAAAAGTTTCTCCGCAACAAATTCACGTCTGGTGTTACGCTCACGTTTTAAACTTAGCGACATTACGAAAGATATAATTCCAGTGATTTCCTTATTCGGTTTGATCAACAAATGTGCTGTTTTTGTCCGGGAATCTTACCTTCGCATGAATACCTGGAAGAAGGAATCGGCGCAATGCCAAATGTACGTTTTCTAAACACTATAGGTGAAACCAGATGGTGGGCTAAAGAAAAGGCGTTATCTAAAATTTTTAACGTTAAAAATGGAATTTTTGTGGAACTTTGTAAAACACTGTATGCAATATGTAATTCAGATAATTTTAACGCCGATATTAAATTTAACGCCAAAACATATTTGGATGGGTTGCTAAAATATGAAACAATATTAACAGCCGTTGTGTTTCAAAAGATATTTTTCCATACTACTCCCTTGTCCAATTATTTACAAACTGCCGGAATGGACATTTTGCAATCTTACCGGATGGTCGAAAAAACGCTATCATCGCTTAAAATACTTTCCCGTGATTTTTGTACTATTTTAAAGGAAACCGACACATACAATTAGAAGTAGAAGAAGAGTACCCAGTGAAACGAAATATCAGAAAAACTAAATTTCATGATGAGAAAAATGACAACAGCATTAAAGACCCCGTGGAAAAATTTAAAGTAGAAGTTTTTTACGTGATAATGGACAGAATTGTTAACTCCTTGGAAATTAGATTTACGAAACATCACCAATTATTCAAAGATTTTGAATGTTTTCATCCAAGCAGTTTTGATTCCTTAGAGAAATTACCAGAAGATTTCTTTAAAAAAGTTACTGAAAAACTTGAAGCATTTTTTCCTGAAATCCAAGAAAATACTTTAAAGCATCAGTTACAGGATTTTGCCTCTAAATGGCCTAGGCTGTCCCAAACACTTCCCGATGAGTATTCAGTTGTTAACTTAGAATTAGAAAACAACGATGACGACAACGATCTCTTACAAAACAATATAATTAATAAGCACAACGCATGCAAAAAATTCCTGTTTTGCTGTTACAGTTTGCTTTTAAAATATAATATGTATGCCGAGGCGTATCCCGATCTCCAAAAAGCTTACCAATATATACTTACTTTATCCATATCACAGGTTTGTTGTGAAAGGTCATTTTCAAAGCTCAAGTATATTTTGAACAGGCTACGGAATAGTACGGGACAGGATCATCTAGAAGCATTTATGCTTATGGCAATTGAAAAAGATGTTCTGCAATCTTTAGATAATAATGATATAATTAAGTATTTAATCGAAAATTGTAAGTCACTAAGAGAACTTTTGTCACATTGATTAAAGCCTGTGCCTGTTTTAGATAAGGTGCACACCCTTTTTTAGAATAGCGTTACTCGTTAGTCGTTAGTAATATTTATCTGTATGTTAACCGTTACTTACACTATGCCATTACCTATTACGAGACATTTAACTCAGAAATGTTCTTAACTTTAACTTTCATTGATTAAAAAATAATAAATTTTAAACGTAGTTTAATTTACCTTTTCAATTCTTAATTATTTATGAACAGTGGAATTGACACAAATTTAAAAATACCTATATAAATAAGATGGAGTATCTCAGCAAAGGTGGCCTGGTGGATGTCAGCATAGCCCGGCCTGATTTCCAGTGCCAGTCCGCCGCTGCGGTTGAACGATCGTATCGTCAAAATCCTAAACGTTTTGAAAGTCAAGATTAATATCTTCAGCATCTAAACTGCTTTCAGCGGCAGCACCGGGTGATTTTCAGACTTCGTCTGCGTGTGATTGTTCCGCTGTTGTTCTTCAACGAAAACGTTTTCTTTTCGGCCTGATCCGGCTCGTTATCATCATCTTCGGTAACAGCGAGCACTTCATCAAGATCCGAAATTTGATACTTTATCCTAAGCCAAAAAGAAAGGAAATTGAAGTAGAATACAAAGATGATTCATCAGATGACTGTTTTGATTTTGAAGATAAAGAAGAAATAACTATTGAAAATGTTTCTAAAGGCGACTATTTAATAACTAAGGTGTATTAGCAGTTATGTCGCAATTGTTGACAAAAGTGATAAGAATGGATTCGAACTTAGATTTCTTAATTCCCAAACAGATTCAGTTTCACCGAAAAAGCTGTCCGGTTTTTTTTTCGAACATATCTGGCAACCCTAGTAACACAGCATGCTAGTCCTATAGTATTTGTTCTAAATAAAGATTTTATTGTAGGCGAAGAGTGCGAAACGAGATTTGGTACGCTTCGTAACAGATTTGTTACCAAAAAAATACCTTGTTGCTATAAATTGACTGAATTTCTACATTTCTATAGAAACTGAAGGTGAAGAGCAAGTCCCTGAAGCAGAGGACGTTGTAGAGCAGAATGTTGTGCCTCAGGAGGTAATCCGGCCCGTGGAGGTACACTCCACAAGTTCACGGACCCCGGTTCGTCCAAAAAAGACCGGGGTCGATGAAGCGCAATTTTCTTCATACTTGAAGGGAAAAGGTAAAGAAAATATTGCGCCAGAGCTTGTGGATGCAGATTTCAGTTTTGGGCATACAATAGCCCTTGAGCTTAAAACCATGTCCGCTGAGGAAAAGAAACAAGAAATTCTAAAAATTGTATATAACCTAAAGCAGTATTAATAGTGGTTTACACCAACAAATTTAAGCAGAGCATAGCCTAAATGTAGCTTAATATCTATGGTCCATAGATTATTGCGACAATGGTCATCATGGATTTTAAGCTAAGCTCAGCTTAATTTTGTTGGTACAATCGGTCATAAGTTTGATAATAGTATTAAGTTGTAGGTATATAATAATAATAATTAAGTTGATTAGTTACAAATAAATCTAATTAAGTAAATACATAATATAATACATTCTAACCAGGTAAAGAACCATGGGCAATTATGTCGTATTGCCATCTTACTCCACCAGCATTGCTGTTGAAGTAGGCTGTCAATTGGTCCCTGTTCTGCCGAACTGAGCGGGTGGAATTGTTGCTTCCAATTCGACCAACAGGAGCAAATCCTACCACCTCTTCTCTCCATCTAACTTGAACAACTCCGCCATCTTCATCGATGTAGTCTACAAATCCTGTGGGACAATACTTTCTCTCTTGGATAGGTAATTGGACTTCTTTCGCCCGTAGAAAGTTATGCAACACCACACAGGCCTGCGTTATTAGACAGCATGTGTCTACATTGGCAATGATCGGTCTCCGAAAAATTCTCCAGCGAGTAGCCAATATGCCAAAAGTATTTTCAATTGTGCGACGACCTCGAGATAGCCTGTAATTAAAAATACTTTTGGTTTCATCAAGCCGATCTCCAGGAAATGGACGCATGATCCTTTCATGTAATGGAAAGGCTTGGTCAGCCACGAAAAAATACGGCAGGATAGCGTCTGATCCCGGTAGGACATTGCTTTCGGGCAAATCCAGTATCTCCTGTTGACGATGCAAAATCGCTGCACCAAACGGAGAATCCGAAAAGACATGACTGTCATGCTGCGATTCGTATGCACCAATATCAACAAGGGTGAACTTGTAGTAAGCATCGCAAATGGGCATCAGAACAATACTGTAAAATAATTATTTTTTTGAAAATATACTACCTAGTGAAAAATTGTATTGCATCGTACCTACTAGACTTCTTGTAATTGAAATAATCACTACCGCTATGCTTTGGGGCCTGAATTTGTATGTGTTTGCCATCAAGCGCCCCTAAGCAATTGGGCATATTCCATCTCTTAAAATAGCCCTCTGCAATACCCTCAAACTCTTCTCGAGTAGGTGATAGATATAGGGGCGACAAGACGGTCCACAGAACTTTGCACGTTTCCCTGATAATTACATTTAAAAGGGGCGGTCAAATATGTCAAATTTTAATAAAACTGCCGATTTTCCGACTACATTTGCTATTATAGATCTATATATATATATATATATATATATATATATATAAATTTCACTCTTTTTGCAAAAATTAGCAGCGCAAAAGTATGGTAACTGGCCAGTCTCACTCTATTAACATTGAACTACCGAAAAACGTTCTATTTTTTTTATGGTACATGCTTATTAAAGTAAGGAATAATTAATAAACAATTAGACGCAAAATGTAACAAACTGCCCTCCTATGGGGCAAGTTGTAGAGTTGAAAACGAAGATGTGTGGAGTAAATATTGTTGTGATACCTTCCTACGACTGAAACTACCCACACAACTTACCCTTGCTAGATCAAACTCACTAAAACTCTTTAAAACACAAATCTCAGGGCCCGTAAAATGAGTCCGACTACCCCTTTTTTTCGTCCGGACAAGAGGTAGCAACCTCGCCAGGTCGGTGGCTAATACCTCCCTTAAATTCCAAATAAAAATAATCCCTTGTTAACTGACTTCTGGAATGAAATTTAAGTCCCACCGATGATCCAAACCTTTTTACGTTATCAAACTCGTTACACACTCGGGATAAAAGAAGAAAACTTAAAATTTGAGAAACTCGAATCCTTGAACATTACTTTGACACACAACAAATAATAAATGACAAAAAAAAAACAAAAATTTTACAAAGCTAGTTACAAAATCTAAAAAAAAAATGACTTACACAAATTGAAACACAAAACCGTCTCAGACGGCGATTCTAACAATTAAATTAAAACAAAAAAAAAACAGTACTCACGGTGCTAATCCTTTTGTACAAAAGCGCAAACAACCGACGTACACAAAAACACAAACACAGCCCCAGGTATGTGCTGACACAGCTACTCCAACAGCTCCTCGGCGATGCTGGCGTTAAACAAACGTTCCGGCTACTCCAGATGATGTAAAATACGATGCAAACGAACTCACGTTGCTAAGATGGCATTATTGTACCGCTCGTTTCTCTTCAACAAAAACCTTCTTAAAACTCCTCGATGCCGGCGTAATCCACACGTTCCCGGACTTTCAAAAAAATACAACACGATGAATAAACTGGCGTAACTTTATCAAACGCCGCTACAATAAACTTTCCAAAAATCTTCACATAAAACAAACGTAAGCTTCGCGAAACGGTACAATAAGCGTCTTCTCTTCGCTGTTCAAAACCATTTATACCCCAGTATCGTCAAATCTCGGTGCGACGCTTTTCCATGAAAAATTCGAATATCGGGGCCGATAAAACTTAACGGTCCACTCCGCGGACCAATACCATAATTGCATAAATAAAACTATTACCGATCGTAAATCAACTTAGACTGGCACTTTTACGAGTTTTAACACGCCAAAATTCCTATGAAATTCGCTCTTAAACAACTAAAAGTTTCCTTATCTAAAGTAACACTTGTGTGCAAAGCGCGTGCACTCTGCTAACTTCCACGAATTTAACAAGACAAAATTTATTACATTTAAACACACTAATTACGGATTCGATTTTCCCAGACTTTAAGTTTCTTAATTAACTCCGGCCGAGCATTTATTGAACTAAAACAACGATCCTCTGCATAAAAATGGGAAATAAACTTCTTTCCAGACTAAATAAATGCCGTCCAACTGCGGCCTAATAAAAAAACACAACATTATCCCCCTTTAAATTGAACATAAAAACAAAAACATACCACCCTCTGAACACAAATAAAAAAAAACCGGGTTTTTATGGGCAATTTAACCAACCGACCCTAACACGCGAGCCACCCTGTCCAGATTCAAAAAGGCGCCGCCCCCACTTCCGGCCTGAGATCCCTATCGTCCCTAACTAAAACTTTAAACCCAAACTCAAAATCTAACACCATTCTAGCAAACGCCAAACATTTACGAAACTAAGCTTCTACTAACGATTACTCAACCCCTTCCTCCGAATCATCATCATAACGAAAAAGCATGTCTACATGAAATTTACCCCTTATTTTCTAAGAATCCCTTACTCTTAACTCATAACTATCTCCAAAACGTCTGTTAATAACATAGGGCCCCTCATACGGTAACAATAACTTGGCCACTAATCTGCTTTGGGCCATCAGCCACCCTTAACTTCTTTAAAATCACCAGATCCCCTTGCCTAAATGTCGTTTTTCGTTTTATTCTAGCATTTTGTTTAACCTCAAATCGGTCTTGTTTTCTCCTTACTCTAATCCTAATCTGTTCTAATTGTTCCCTTATTCCTTGTTCTCCCACATCTAAATTTTCCCAGGGTCTTTCTGGAAAAATCCCAAACATCAAATAAACCGGCGGTTTCTCCGTTACTGTGGACGGTATCTCGTTAATCCAAGTTTCAATTTGTTTCACGTACTTCCCCCAATTACTATGCGGTTCTCCTACTAACCTCATTCTCAAATACTTAATAATTTCCTGAATGTACCTTTCTGAAGGATTACCCTGCGGATGCCTTATTGAACAAAACCCTAACTTTATTTCCCTCTCCCTTAAAAATCCTTTAAACCGATCATTGTTAAAATACGTCGCGTTGTCAGCAATAATTTTCTCCGGCTTCCCCACTTCAACTAAAAATTTCTCTAACGCATTAATAGTCTTGTCCGTATTACAAGCTGGCACCACGTATAATTTTGTAAACTTCCATAAATTTTCACCTGTCATCCACCCTGATGGATGGGCTGATCCGATACAACCCGTAGGAGCATTGGCAATCATGAATGCTTTGAAATGTTTACGGGGGAATATTAACATTGGTGGCACTGAATTTCCGGCTGTATTAATTGCAAGTGCCATAGTCACAAGTATTCCTCTTTCGCCAGAGGTTACCGCGCCAACTTGTACATCTTTTTTCACGATTATTTTACATGGCCGTTGTACAGTTGTGAGGTCAGTCTCATCAATATTGTACACACACTGTGGATCAAATTTATATTTATCTTATACAGCAGCAAGGTTTGTAAAAAAGAGGTTCACATTAGCGCTGAATGCGGTGGCCCTGGAGAGGCTTGTCGCCTCTGGTGTGCGGATGGATAAATTCTGGTAACGTTTGAGGAACGTTAGTAACCAGTCTTTAGACGCCATTTCATTCTTCTTCCATGAATCAGGAAATTTGTTTCGGTTAGCTATTGCTAGTTCATATGCAAATTTTCTTAGGTCCTTGGTCGTTAACCCATAATAAACCTTTGAGCAGTCTTCGACATACCTTGCTAATTCTTGTTCTTGTACTTCAGAGAAAACCTTTGGCAGCGTCTCGTAATAAAAGGTCTTCCTGTGCCATTGCATTTGCAGCTTGTTGGAAAACTTCCACTGGAATGTTTCCTCTCTTCCTTTTTCTCTTATAGGAACGTACCATAGTTATATAGCTACAATCAAAAAGTGTATAAGTAGGTATCCTTTGAACAAATCTTTAGCAAACCACAACCGGGGCAAGTTAAGGCCACGGTGTATAGTCTTTATTATACACCATGGTTAAGGCAGTTTCTGCAGTTGTGCCTGTGACTTCTTAACGGAATCTCCTCTTACCCTTCCGATCTTGTTTGGTAGAAATCTTTCTCATCTTGAGGCATTTGTGGAAGCATGGCGGCCTCCAAAGCTTGTCTTTTTTTCACGTTAATTTCAAACAACTTATTAACGTCAGAAGGAAAACTACGTAACTCAGATTTGTTTAGATTTCCTGTTCGTTTAGTCTTATAAGAAAGCTTGACTTTTATAAAGTTTCCTCCGAAATTCTCACTGTACTTCATGTTGATGGACTTTTTTTGTGTAAATCACGTGTTTTATCTTTGAAAATGTTTCTGTGAAACCTTTTTGTAATCTAGATAATCACTTGGTCCCATCTGGAGTACTTTAAATTTCATCTTCCAGTCATATGAACCAAGGATAAGTGATCACTGTGAGTTGTGACCATATCTCGAGATTTGTAATGTAGCGTTCGATACAGCTATGTGCGACGTCGATTTCCTGAACATTTCCATGGCTGTGTTCTGAGTACTTTTTTTTATAGTCTCCAATTGTTTGCTAGCCTCGGAATTCAAGAAATGTAAAGCAAATGAATGAATGGAATTCCGATTTTGTGCAACACGACTATCCGTCCATAGTATAATCGTCTTGAGATAAGGTTGATTTGCCAATACCGCCTTCAAAATTTTGATAACGGCGCTGGCCAAAAGAGTTACTCTCCGACCACAAATGTATTCGTGCCAAATGGCGTTGTACACATGCTTGTCGATGCTCGAGTATGCCATCAAATTGTATTATCATTTCATTAACTCATACGGAATTACTACTGCAGGTAATCCGTTTTGTAACGTAGAGTTCTATTACGAATAATTAATTTCAGAAAGCTCACCAGCGACCGATTAACGCATTTCATACATTATTTCTTTTCTTTCGTGTACCGATCGACAGAGCGGGTCCCTACCTTCAGGGGTTTTGATATCCATAATTTGTAGAGAATTTATTTAAATTTCATGGGGGAGATATTATCATTTTTAAATACTTAATTGCATATTAATTTAGAGCATTTATGAAGTACAAACGTACCACTTTAATGAAAATAAATTGAATTTTTGTTGGGTCGTTCAAATATCAAATTAATAAATAAAATTAGTACCATCAAATTCATTGTAAATAAAATTGTTTAAAACATAAAAAAGATTTACTGCACACTTAAAATATAAAAAATTCATCAAATGCTGCCTGGGGCGGTATAGTGCCTAAAATACAAGCGGCATTTCCCTGCTGAACAGCTAAACTAAATCTTTGTTTTTAACAGTCCGATTGTCTGGTATCGCTATTGGCCGTTACATGCCATCTATGTGCAATATCAATTATTATATATCTGTTGAGGATTCTTGAAACATGCGGTTGTTTAACAATTTTGTCTGAGTTACCAAGATTAAACAAAATGGAAAAATATCAAAGATCAATATCAAAAATGTCTAAACAATGGAAAGAGTGGAGATATGGCAAAGAAAACCAAAGGCAATATATGAGGTCCGAGGCCTTTGTTAACGATTGCCTGGAAAAACGCCCTACGTCGGCAAACATTAATAATTCGGATGACACTGAGGAAAAGGACCTTATTTCTGCAAAGTCTCCCTTGTCAGATGAGCAGTAATTTACGCGCGATTTGTTAAGAAAAGGGTCGTCTACTAATAACCCTCAGAATCGACCAAAGAGAGTCAAAACGAGAGGAGACAAGCAACACCTTTTCAAAGTTCCATTTTAAACAGAATTGACCAGGCTTCACAACTAATGCAGTCCCCGGTTCCTGAAGATGCTGATCGCTCTTATCTAGTGTCTCTTCTTCCGTCACTCAAAAAATTGACAGAGAGAGAGAGAGAGAAAGAGAGAGAGAGAAATGGAAATTTCGGCAGACTGTTATTAATTTTTTTTTATGGCGCTAGAAGTTTCTCAGCTTCCACAATAACCACTCTAGCGCTTCCATTCAACAATTCCACCATCTACTACAATCTCTGCACAACCTTTTCATTCTCAACAACAGTCTCCTCAGATCTCGTTAATCTCCCTATTTGTCTTTGTTTTTGCAAAATTGATTACTGATGTTCGATGGAACCTGTAAAGCAACAAATAAGTATTTTTGATTTACTAAATTCTTTTTGAATTGGTTCAGATATGCAACCCAAATGGGGGATGCTTATTTTTGTTTCTAGTTGACAAATGTCATTATGAAATAAGTGAATATTTTACTGGTTAATGTAACTTGTTATAATTTATAAACATAAACCACATATTTGTCACGCGCGCACGGAAAAAGCCTGCTTTCCGGACTCGTAATGAAATATACTATTTGTTGAATGGATGCCGGTGTTTAAATACGCGTTAACAGCATTTCCGGTTGTCGCTGCTTTGTTGTAAGCTTCTTTCAATAGGCCACCAACTTGAAAATGCGTAACCGTTCTACCAGGGTTAGATTTTAACCAACGGAGTAGTTCCTGGTTATAATACGTCGTAAGGGGACCGTAGAAACATACGTCTAGAGGTTGTACCCGAGGAGGAAAGCAACATATGACAATTCCGTTTTCTTTGGCACACGTCAGCGCCTCAAAATTTGTATGGCTACTGTGTCCATCTAACAGAAGAAACACAGGATTAGTAACAGATGGCTTGACAAAGTGCTTTAAATACCGTAAAGTGGGGCGAGATTGTACTCCCGAGGCGAGATTGTACACTTGTTTATATTTCACAATAATTTACATTTTCGCGCCTACACTATAGGCAACTTTTACTATTTGCGCTGAGATCTGAAAAATTGAATAGTTTTAAAAACAAGCAAAAATTTTGGAAATAATAGACATATCAAAAATCGAAGATCTCAGCGCGTACTATCAATGAAACATAATAGGGTTTTATGAAATGACAAATTTCCATTTTTTTGTAAATAAATCTGTAATTTATGAAAAAAGGTTTAATTTAATTTTGCTACAGACGGTGCTGCCTCTAGCAGTATATCAAATTAGTGTATTACTCCCACCACTGACAATGCGAGTTGCGAGCACATTCGGTTAGAATTTTTATTCCTTCACCTTCTTTTCTTTATCATTATAAGTTTGTAAGTCACAGACGGCGGTTGAAAGATTTTGTTTTGGCTATTGCTCGGGCTATTGTTACAGAATTTGGGAGTATTAATCATAAAATGAGTAAAAGGACTTATTTTGGACGCAAGAAAAGTAAGAGACAGCATGCTAAACAGTAAGTGTGAAGTAATTTACAAGTAGTAGGGTAGCTGGGGTGAATTTCGGCCATGTGGGTAATTCCGGCCACCATAGAAATCTGTTACAGTTGTCTATGCAATTCCTTTATTTGCCCCTAGGTGTCGCTGTGCAAGAACTCAACCTAATGTGCGCGTTCGTAACGGTATAGAATAAGTGGCTGCCGTTTTATTTATAAAAATCGCCAAACATCCTGTTTTTAATAAGAAAATAATTATTTTAAAGGTAAGTGTAGCTGTCCTTTTATCATAATAAAACATTGTTGTGCTATCAATTTGTCATTATGGCTATGTGTGAAAGGAAAATGATTCCCATTGAAACAAACCCTTGCATAATTTTGTAGTAAACGCCATTTTAGTTGATGCTGCATATAGGGTTAATACCGGCCAAGACTGGAGGATAATGGCGGCTGTGGCCGGTATTACCACCCGTTACTATTATCACCACGTTAACAGGTGTATTCTGTATTTCAGATGCCTCGAAAATATTTGCGAACATCTACAAAGGCTTCCTGGTCATCTGAGAATATGAACGCGGCACTAAAAGCTATTAGTGACGGGGCGAGTGTACGTCAAGTTAGCATCAGATTTGGGATACCGAGATCTACTCTTCAGGATCGGATGAAAAAAGGGGATAACTCGCGCGCGGTGTTAGGTCGAAAATCAGTATTTTCAGTTAATGCAGAAAAAGAACTTGTAACCGAAATAATTAGACTCTCTAAAATATTTTATGGACTAACATCTCAAGAAATAAGACAATGTGCATTCAACTACGCCGAAAAAAACAACATAAACCATCCTTTCATTAGAGATAAAAAGGCTGCCGGAAGAGACTGGATGGAGCGATTTCTAAATAGAAATCCTGAAATTTCTGTTAGGAAACCTCAGCCCACCAGTCTTAACAGACTCACCTCTTTTAATCGGGAAGAAATTACATTATTTTTTTCCAAACTGCAAAGTGTAATGGAAAAGCATAAATTCACACCAACACGCATATTTAATGCCGATGAGACCGGTATTAGTAATGTCCAAGTATCAGCAAAAATATTAGCACAAAAAG